CGCTGCTCGCTAGGCCGGGCGTGCTCCAGGATCAAAGGGTGGATCCAGCATTGCATGCAGCGGTAGCAGAGGCACACAGGCACACCTTCTTCATGACACAGGGTTGTCCGCTCACGGCGGAAAGTCGACGAGGCACACGCCCTGGCAATGGCTTAGCAGACCTTGTATACAACCTGGGCTTCGCCACGCTGCTGAGAGACCTACACACGGACCTGGCCGCCCACAACTACACGCTCACACTGAAGCCTGACCCTGCACCGATACTGGCCTCGGTCGCCGCAGAGCAAGCCGAGGTTACCGACGTCTCCTTCGTGGACGATGCTACGACTCCCTGCGCGGTGGATACCTGCAGCAACCTTGAGGACGCCATCAGGGGCATAGTCAGTATCCTGTTCAAGCACATCTGCATCTTTGGCTTCACGCTCAACTTGGCCAAGACCAAGATATTGCTAGGCTTCTTTGGCCCTTGTGCCAGAAAAGCCAGGGCCCGTCTTCTTACCAGCCACCCGGCGTACTTATGGCACGAGGGCCTGAACCATCAGCTGCAGATCGTGGAGACGGCGGTCAACCTGGGCACGGTTGTGGATACCAAAGGGTGTGAGGGTCCCAACATGGCCCGAAGGTGCAACGGGCATACGGCAGCAGCGGGACCATTGAGGATTACGGTTAATCAAATACATGACGTTGATAGACAGGTAAAGATCACGCTCACCAGCGCCCTGTGCGACAGCACCCTCACCTTCAATGCAGAAATATGGGGCGCGTTGGGCACCAGGCTGGACTCGCAAGTCGCTGCCAAGTATGTCAACGCCTACCGAGCTGCGGTGGGCAAGTTACACATACCTGATGGACCTCGATGGCGAGACGAGGAGGTCCTTCTTGACGCAGACAAGTCTTCCTGGCAGATCATACTCCGCACAAGGCGACTACGGCACCTCATGAGACTCTTGTTCTTTGGTGATCAGCAACTCCTGCGCCTCGTGGACCTACTATGGGAGGAGAAAGGGAGCTGGAATGCCCTGATCTGGGAAGATCTACGCTGGCTCGGCGACTTTGTCTCCACTGATGAGATACCATGGGAGCAGCGACAGAACATACGTACCTGGATTGACGCCTTCAGAGATTGTGAATATGCCAAGGCCATGAACCTGATCAAGAGAGGGGAACACAGAGCACATGCAGCTCAGATGGAGTACTTCAGGCATGGGGTTTGGCAGAGACAACTCAGATCTTTGGCTCAGGAGGCGGGGATGCCACCCCCGCCCTTTGTGGAGGCAGATCGACCCGAACGAGGACGAGGTTTCATTTGCTATGATTGTGGCAAGATTCTGGCAACACGAGGCATGTGGAGGAGACACCGCACAGTCGTACATGCTCAGCGTGATGACGACCGCTACATCAGAGGTACGCTTTGCCCGAACTGCGGCAAGGACTTCCACACCCGTGCTGGTCTTCTCCGTCACCTCAAGTATAGAAGCCTCAGATGCATGGAGCATTGTCGGGCCACAGTGGTTCCACTCAATGATGAAGAGTTGGCAGCAGCTGATTGTGAGATGGCAGAGGATACCAGGAAGCTCAAGAGAAGTGGCTTCAGGGCAGCAAAGGCCATGATGCCGCCGAAGGACCCAGACCCATACTGGATTACGGCAATACCGACATGGGCCTGCCCGCTCGGGCCAACCTGTCCACCAGCAGTACCAGCGGATGATGATGGCCCTGACCACCAGGACCCAGCACTCCCTGTGACAGTGGACAGACCGCTTACATGGCACTGCAATCTGGTACTCCATCTATTCAATGGCCACAGAAGACACAACGACGTCCAGGACCACCTGGAAAAGCTAGCGGCAGAACGGGCAGTTCCCTTGATGGTGCTCTCCCTCGACGTGCAGAACAACGCTGACAGGGGGGACATGACCAAGAAGGAGAATCTCGTGTTCTGGAGGGATGCCATGCTGGCAGGGCAGGTGTGCGCGGTGATAGGAGGACCTCCCTGCGAAACCTGGTGCCCGGCCAGATGGCTTGATGATGGCGGAGGGGGCAGACAACCGAGACCGCTCAGGACCAGGAGCAGACCCTGGGGCATCAGCAGCGTGTCCAAGAGGGAGAGGCAGCAGATTGACCTGGGCAACGCGCTGCTTCGCTCCTGCCTGCTACTGCTCCTGGTCGGCCGCCCGCTGGGCATCACAGGGCTGATGGAGCACCCAGCTCCAGCACCCTGGAGGCCACAGAGCATCTCCTCCTGGGAGACGCCCGAGATCACTTGGGCGCTGGGGCTCCCTGGGGTGGACTACGTGCAGGTGGACCAGTGCGAGTACGGGGCGAAGGCGAGGAAGCCGACGGGGCTCCTGGCGGTCAACGCCCCCGAGCTCCGCCTCGCCGTGGACGCCCAGCATCATGGCGGCCGCTGCCAGCATGAGGGAGGACATCCCGCGGCGGCGGGCCGCGATGAGCGGGGCCGCTGGCGCACTGCTGAGCTGAAAAGCTACCCGTCGGCTTTTTCGCGCCTCCTCGCCCAGGTGCTCTTGGGGCACCAACTGTCGAGGCTCAGCAGGGCCTGGGATCCCTGGGGCAGTGACCTGGGGACCTCGGCCTTCCAGGACTTTTTTGTCCCGCTCGATCCCTACTACAACTTCCAGGCGGGCCATGACTGCTTTCGGCAGGACTAGCGCCCGTGTCCCCTCATCGACATGCTGTCGATGCTGTCCTAGAGTCGCCAGCAGTGCACGCCCACTCCCTCCTCCTCGGCACACGGATTCCAACCTCCCCCGCCCCTTCCTCCTCGACCTTGAATCGAGAAGGATACGTTGGCGCCCGTGCGTGACGGGCCACGTCGACATCTTCGTGGCCCAGGCCGAGCTGGAGGTCTTGAACGGCGTAGGCCTTTGCAAAATCCCAGGCAAAATCCCAGGAGGAGGAGGAGGAGGAGGAGGAGGAGGAGGAGGAGGAGGAGGAGGAGGAGGAGGAGGAGGAGGAGGAGGAGGAGGAGGAGGAGGGGAAGGAGGAGGAGGAGGAGGAGGAGGAGGAGGAGAGATAGGAGGAGGGGGAGGAGGAGGAGGAGGAGGAGGAGGAGGAGGAGGAGAGGAGGAGGAGGAGGAGGAGGGAGGAGGAGGGAGGAGGGAGGAGGGAGGCGGGAGGCGGGAGGCGGGAGGAGGGAGGAGAGAGGAGGGAGGAAGGAGGGGGGAGGGGGCTTCTTGGAAGAAGGCTGCCTCTTCGAAGGCGCGGGCTCTGTCTGTAGAGGCAAGACGGGCGCCTTCTAAGGGGCACCCCTCATAAGACGGAGCCAGGACGAGGATAACATCGGGTGAGGATGAATCGAAAACCTCTGAGGTCCGGCGGCTCTGGAGGATGTCTCGGGCGCCGCCACCTTCTCAGATCGCCCCGAACGCTCTGACAGCGCTCCGGAACGCTCTGGAACGGATTCATCCTCGTCTCGGCCCCGTCCGACCTGCCCTCATGATCGGAAGAGGGCCAGCTAAGACAGCGGCTATCCCGCCCGGGGCGCACGCCGACAGGGACCACAGGCCCGTGGCTCTGGCGCGGGGGCGCCCGGTTCAGGTCGGGCATGTCCCCCATACAGGGGGATTTGGGACGAAGAATGAAGAACACCAGGATCATCGGAAATAATCGTAAAAATCGTCCCCAGACTGTTTGAACAAAAAAAACTCGGGAGCGGCCAAGAGGGGGGTGTCCAAGAGGGGGGGGTGCAAATCATGACCGGCGGCATGTGCGCGGCCCAGCGGGGGGGCCAGGGACGTAATGAAATAAGAAGAGGCGCCATGAAATCTGAGGAAAAATCATGACCCGCGCCATGAAATCCACCCCCCTCTAGTCATCACCCCCTTCTTTTCCGCTCCCGAAAAACAGCTGTTTTCTTGCATTCCTCCTGTAGAGGAGCAGGCCCGACTTCACGCCGGGCCCGCGACACCCGAGGCCACTGCCGCCCGTCTGGGGCGGCGGTGCTCGCCGCTCCTGCGGGGCGCGGGGCCCGCCCACCGCGCGCGCTCCCTCGCGGCGGGGATCCGGAAGCAGCGGCGGCTGGGACGCCCGCTCGGCCGCGGCGGCCAGCGCGGCCGAGCGGGAGCCCCATGGGCCGCTCCTGCGGGGCCCAGGACCCGCCGGCGCGAGCGCTCCTTCGCGGCGGGGTCCGGAAGCAGCGGCGGCTGGAAGGCCCGCTCGGCCGCGGCGGCCAGCGCCGCGGCCAGCGCAGCGCGAGGCGCGAGTTTGGGTTGCCCTTCGTTGCCCATTACGTCCAGAATTGGTGCGGATAGAGTGGGGGCGCAGACCAACAATATTCCCCGTCCATGTTGAGCACGCTTCATTGTCGGTTTCCCGTGCTGGTATCCACGTCGGGCGTGTTAAGGAGACGAAGCCCCATGGCTGCGGGGGCCGTCGCTGACCCCCCCCACGCTTACCGGCCTCGAGCATATCCCGATCCCTCAGGTTGGCACGCCAAAGAACGATGGCAACCTCAGGGGTTCGCCCTCAAAAAAGAAGGGAATCCCTAAGATTGGCGTCGTGATGAGGAGATGCCCAGCATAGGGACAGGGATATGTTCCAGGCTGGTAACACACGCGCTCACCTTCTGCTGTTCCCAGCGTGCTCGAGGACCAAGCCCCAGAAAGGAGCTCGAGCACCCAGGAGCGCATCGCAGCAGGGTCGCGCGAGTATCGCCGCCCAGGGCCGGACGCGCGAACACCCGAAAGGTTCGGTACCTTCTTGGTGGTTGATTTTTTTCTGGTGATGATCAGGGCTAAAGTAGGCTGTGGACAGGTGCAGGAGGAGGAGGAGGAGGAGGAGGAGGAGGAGGAGGAGGAGGAGGAGGAGGAGGAGGAGGAGGAGGAGGAGGAGGAGGGGGAGGAGGAGGAGGAGGAAGAAAAGGATGAGGAAAAAGATGAGGAGGAGGAGGAGGAAAAGGATGAGGAAACGGCTGGAACATCATCAGACCGGGCCCATCCTCCGGCTTTCCCCAACGGCCCCCCCCTGTCGTCCAGCCCGAGCTGGTCGGCACCAGCGAAGTCGCTGAACCCGATGGCCGGCGGCTCGCCCGGGGGGGGGGCAACGCCACGCCACCAGAAAGGGATGGGCGTAGGGGCCGGGAGGCAAGCGCGGCTCGATGTGTACATACGAGACGAGGCCGCACTTTCGCGGGGAAGGGAGGGGAGAAGAAAGATCTCCTCCTCCGTCTCCTCCTCCTGTCGATCCTGTCGATCCTTGCGCAGCCAAGCTCCTCCAGGCGAGACAACTGGGCGGCGGGCGAACGGCGAGCGACGCGAAAAACGAGGCCAGGGCCAGCAGGCGCGCGACCGCACCGCTAGGGCCCCGACCGGTGGAGGGGGAAAGGCCGACCCACGAAGGATTTGGAGGGCGGATCCTTCCCCTCCTTCAGCTGCTTTAGGGTCTTCTCCGCTGGCTTGTTAGGAGGCGCGCCAGGGCGCGCACCTCCCAATAGGCACAGCTTGACCGACCCAAAAGCAGCGCAAGAAATACAAAAAACCACACGCCCGCCGCTAATCCAGAGCTTATGACTGGAGTGGGCGAGCCTGGCAAGCCTGGGGAGGCCCGAGCACGGCAGTGCGCACACTGACGCCTCTGAAAACCCCGTGGCTCCACAGTTCACACAGAGGAAGGCCCCCTTCCCCTTTGAGCCCGTCCTGTGAACAGCATGCCCCTTTAAATCACAGGCCAAGACTAAGGGGTCATGCTTGGGGCGGGGGGGGGGCCTTACATTTCTGGACATCTGGGAAATTCTGCTTACTGAGCATCTCCCCAAAACACGCAATGAACCTACTGAAGGCATCTACCTCCGAGCTTCTCTGTCTCTGGAGGGCACGGAGGCTAGGATTGCAAGGGTGCTCCAGAGCTCCGCGCTTAGCAAGACCATCAGCAATGCCATTGCCGACCCAGGCCCAGTGGGGGGCCTCTGAGGTCTCTAAACACCTGTTCCAAGAAATGTGACTCTTAATTTTGTGCAGGCAGATTATTCCTAAGCCTATATCACGAACACGATCCCAGACTAGCTCCCAGACCTCCGAGAACGCGACCTCAGACATGTCCGACTCGGGCCCGCGGGCCCACACGTCCAAGATGGCCTGGCAATCCGTGTAGATCTGGGTGCACTGCGAGGGTCCCATGAGCTTGAGGGCCATCAGCAACGCATACAGCTCGCCTGCCCCGGATTCCTGGACGGGATGAGGGAGGGGTCCGAAAGCACTACCCTCGCACCGACTGCTCTGATCCATGGCAACCACAGCCCAACCTGCACGTGCTGCATACAGCGAGTTCGTGTCAAACCCTGAGCCGTCGATGCATATCCTGCAGCCTAGGAACCCTGCTTCTGGCACTTTATCCCACCGCCAGGTCTCGGCTGTGGACACCTTGGGCCAATCGTACCCTGGGTCTGCACAGAGCGCCCTCGTCGATAATAGATCGTAGGCGCCCAGCTGCATACCTCTGTCCACGCACTGCGGCAGGTCTATGTCCCGCCTAAACATAAAGAAACCGTCGCACTGGAATAAACGGTGCTGAGGCGTGCCGTTATACGTGCCGCAGACCCTGCACAGCGGCGTGATGGCTCGCCTGTCCTGGAATAAAACCTCCTGAGTGGGATGACCTCCTGCGACTACATTACACAAAAAGGCAGCAGCTGAGTTTCTCCCCGCTTTCCTGAGGCCCCTGAGGGTATCCATGATGGGCCCCAGGAGGGGGGGAACCACACGCTCAGGATCTTCGGGATCAGGGACCCCAGCGTGCTCCAGGAGCCTCATGTGTGTACTGTAGTCAATCAACTTAGTGAGGGTGCGCTTCCCGAAGTGGTTGGGATCCAATAGGAAGCCACGGCAAGACTCCCAAGTGTCCCAAGCAATAAACCTCCAGCCCAAACGATCCAGAGTAGCCCATGCAGCTCCAGCCGGCCCCCGAACCTTGTCCCAAGTCCTGGAGGCCGCCTTCGGGTAGGCCTGCGCGCAGGCCCTCATGATGTGCTCGGGGACCCATTTCTGTTTCACCGCTTGTTGCCACATCTTAAGTGGCAGGAGGTTGGCCTGGAACACAGGGTCCAAGCCCTTCGTCGGGCCCAGTAAAAACTGCAGGGTCCTGGAACGGCCCCTTCCCTTGCCGAACGAAGCCTGACCTATGATAGAACGCAGCTTCATGACCGTGGAGGTGTTCATGCCAATGACCGCAGTGCCATAAAAAGCTGCTGGCAATCCACCTGTCTTCACGACCTTGCACAAGCCCGAGTAGCCAGAGCGGAGGCCCCTAAATCGGCGAACTCGGGGCCCCAAACTCTCCCATCTCGATCCCTGGACTGGAGTTCTGCGCCGACCAGCAGTGTAGTCAACCCCTAGGTTACGAGCTGACTTTACCACTTGGAATCTCCAGCGCATAAGCCGCGTTTTAACTCGAAACTCAATATCCCGAGACGTCGCCGTGATGAGGCCTTTCGTGGGAGAGATCAGGAAACCAAGTTTCTCCAGGTTGCTGCACAGCGCAAAAGTAGCATCGGCCGCCGTACTCGCCACCGCCCTAGCCTTACCTGTAGCACCACACGTAATATCGTCAACAACATTGTATACACGAACCGATGGGAAATTCGATACCACATAGTCTAGCGGGTCGAGAAGGAGGCACTTTAGCAGGGTGGTGGCGAAAGTACAACCTGCCAAGATCGCCTGGACGCAGGCGACAAACTCAGAGCAGACCCTGCCCACCTGCAAGACCCTCTGGCCCCTGTACAAGCAGAGGAGGTAGCGCAGGCGGTGCAAAGGGAAGCCATGCTTGATGGCCGCAGAGGCCAAGAAGAAATGAACCACCTTCTCATAGCACTTGGTCATGTCGACCAAAACGGAAGCAGCAGAGTGCCCAAAAACGTACGCGTGCTCCATCCTCATAGCCTGCTCCCAAACAGCTCTCTCGCACGAGCGCCCCCTGCTTCCAAAGTGGTAAGGCCTGTCATGGGCCCGTTCCCAACGATCGGCCTGCACTCGAGAGTATTTCCCAAGGCACCTGACGCACCCAGACAGGATTCCAATCGGCCGAACTCCTCCTTCCTCATCCTTGGGGATCATAGCTATGATAATCGTGGCAAGGACCTCGGGAAGCTTGCCGAGAGACTCCATCCAAAACCAGAGGGCGGCCACACACTCCAGAGCCCCGTCGCTGAGGATCTCGAAATCCTTGGGGTGTGTCCTATCAGCGCCAATCGCCGTCCTAGCCTTGAACATCCTGGAGCACTTTCGGATCTGATCGGGAGTGGCCAAGACCAAGGGCTCCTCTGAGGACTCGGAGATCTTCTCTGTGAGGAGGCCGATGGGATCAGGAAGGTCCTTCATACTGGGCTTGGGGCTCCATATCTTAGCCCATTCGTCCGTGAGGTCGTCGATGCGCCCCATGGGCCCCTTGGGGGGCCCTCCCTTCGGGTTCGAGGGAACCCATCCCAAGGGGACCTTGGTGAACTTGTGGGCCATTCCAGCCCCATTGTCAAGGCTTGTCCTGACCCAATGTCTCCAGGCCTTGCCCCGATCCGATTGAAACTGCTTTTCGAGGCGCTCTGCATTACGCTTGGCCTTGGCGCACAACTGCACGAGGCCACAGAAGTCGAGGCAACGCAAGTCCGTCTCAGCAACTGCGCACTCTTGCCAAAAAGGGTCGGCACGGAGCGCTGCAGGCCCTTGGAGCACCTGGCAGAAAAGTGATCTGGCATCTGGTCGGTCCAATGGCACTCCTTTCCTGACGAGATAACTAAACTCCTGAATATGAATCGACCACTTCCTCCAAGCTCTTCCTTTGGCCGGAGATACAGGGTAGGGCCCGCCCGAGACTGGTACTGCTGGATGGATTTTGGTCTTCACTCCTCTGGCCCGACCGCGATGCTTGCGCGCGTCGCTCTTGCCAATGCCGTGGATACCTATCATCTCATCCTCGAAAAGCTTGCAAAACCAAGCGTAGCCCCTGTCCAGGGCTGCCTGGTCGCCACGCGCCTCGAGCTGCGCTAAACATGCAGACCAATCTGGAGGCGGAGGTCGCGGACCGAGCGGGGCTTCTCGAGGGAACACCTTCGGACCAACAAGGACCCTTGTCTTGAGCTCTCTGGGGGCTCCAGAGAGGTCCAGCGTGACGGGCCAATGTGGGGCGGTGGTACCACGTTTATTGATCGATATAGCGTCGAACAAAGGCCCGAGCGACTTCGAAATGACGAAAAAGTCGATGGTGGTCCACACAGTCGACGACTCTCGACATGTCGGCTCGGAGGTGTGGAATATTGTGCCCCCAATCTTGTCCACCCAGCCAGTGTCCGCTAGCAGCTTCGGCGATGTATTAAAATCCCCTCCGATCAAGAAAGGTAACTGCCAACCATGAAGTTCCTCGCCAAGCCTGTTGAGGATCTGGAAACTGTTGAGGCCCAAGGGATCTTCACAATCTAAGTAAAGCGAAAACACAGCAATGCCTCCTGGCACAAACATATCCAACCAAACTCCGCAGATTCGGTGTGGCTGAGGAAAAGGGCGGACCAGCGGCAAGGAGCCCATCCCGATGTGGCTCCTAACTGCTATTCCCGTCCCTCCACTGAGCCCTCCCTTGTCTGTGGTTCTGCTTGGGTGCACGAGAGCGTTCCAACCCAACTGTCGTAGCTGATGGGTACCCTCCCGATGCTCATCTCCAAAAGCGAAATCCTGGAAAACGACTACCTGGCCGAAAGACTCTGACTGCAAATAGGTCTTCAGAGATTTCCAAGAGGATGCATTACAGGTTTCGATAGCCATGCAGCGGCGACCTCCTTTCCTCGAAATCCCTGCACTGCAATCCGCAGCCAAGCCTTGACTAGTGTCATCCGAGCCGACGTTGCCCCCATCGCCAGGACGGAGACTCAGCGGTCGATGCTGTGCGTCTGAGGCCTGCTGCGTCCTGCAAAACCCTACCCCGTCCCCAGCACGCGCTGTTTCCCTCGCCTCCTGTGGAAAGGGTGCCCTGGCTGGGGCATAGGTAGGTGGCGACTGTGAACCTGGGAGCCCCAATGGGTCCCAGGGTTTGCGTCCTAACA